CGGCTCATATCAAACGAGAGCTGCGATCATGCAAAACGCCATGCATAATACAACACTAATGGTCTTCTTAAATAAGCGCTCCTCTGTTAAATTAGGTCTTGCAGTCAACGTACAGTGCCCCTTTTCGCAAAGTGTTTATTTTTCTTTTCAAATTTACAATAAGACAGAATATTATCCATTAATTTTGTATTTGAAACATGACCCATGCAGTGATTCCTTTTCTTTACATTAACTTAAGTTATATCATATTTCTCAAGTGAATAGTTTGAATTTAAAACAACTGTCAGTTTAAAATGTTAAAACGTGTATTTTATTTCAATGTTATGCATAATTTTTGCTTTAGATTTAATTGCTATTAAGCTAAAAATGACTTACGTGCATGCGTAATTAAGAATATTTTTGGGGTTTCCCAGCTAATCCGGGGATGTCAGTTATAACAACGAGAATAAGTGCGAGAGGCCGTTCAATCTATTGTGAGCACAACGGTAAAAATTTGTTTATACCGGGGAATTGATTCGAAAAAAAAACGAATTTACCGAGTTCCGCACAATATTAGATATTGTCCAACAATATTGACCTGGCACTTCATTAATATTCGGAAAGGTTATAATTTATGAAAAAACATTGACAATTACCTATCGAATATATCGATATATTTGCAAAGTTCACTCGTATGTGAAGTGTGTTGTATTGGTATAGGTGTCGGATTACCGATCTGAAGGTCTCTGGTTCGATACCTAACCAACACCACGTTATGATTTTTTTTTAATTTACTTCATGTACTTGCAAGAATTAATTTGAAATCTACTACACCTGCTTTTAGAATACCTTTTAAGTGGCGTTTTTATGCAGAATTATATCTTTTATTTAATTATAGTATCTTTCAACGGTTCTATTTGTGATATTATGCAATCGTATTATGCTTAAGCGCATACACGCTTTAAAAGGCAGTTATTAAAAATACTACATAAATAGTACACAATATAAAAAGGTTTTCAATAGTTTAAAGAGAATTGCAATTTCAAAATTAAAATAAATCGCTGAAGTAGGATTTGAACCTACCAGTCTACGTCTATATTCTTCAAGTGAAAACTCTTTAGCAACTGCGCTAAAAGGGAATTTATAATTTACATCATTTAAACAATTGGCTATTTACATTCATGTCGATTTACAATTAGATCGTAACGTTTACGGAATATACCGACTACAAGGTCAAATGCAAGAGTGCAAGGTCAATGTTGTTGGACAATAGTAATGCATCGGTTATTGTTAATCTATATCATACATGTATATGTGCACCACAATATTGTACAAAATTATGTTTCTCTATGTACCGTGTAATAGAGTCAAACAACCATGGCCTGCACTGTTGGATGTTTAAAAAGTTACATATTAACATACCTCACATCCCACACGAAATATTTACCCAAGACAAGTGATGTTAACCGAGGCGCACGACTTACATTCGTTTTGATTTTTTTTTTTGTGATTTAATAATTATGATATTCATTGAATACTCGTAGAGCGTAAAATCTACATAGTCATGTTTTAAGGCCCATTATGCCCTAGAAATAGTTTTGCTTCTTTATTTCAAAAGCTGTTTATTTTTGGCGTATTTTATAGTTTCCAAAACGTTACTGATTTACCAATTATCGAAACCTTCTTTTTTCTTCGGTTGCTTTGGCAATAAGTACAGTTAAATTAATTTAGTATTTTGTATGGAAGTCAAAATATTGATTTTTTTTACTTTTTGGAACTTTCATGACAAATAATTTCACATTTTTCACTACTTTCTTCTTGAAATAAGTGTCAAACAAGTTTTAAAAACAATATATTTAAACATTTTTAATTCAAAGTTGCCCTTTTTAAAGAAGTAAAATGTATTCGTTTCTGAGTCATAGTGGGTCTTTAAGGAATTGTTAAGTGAATTATTCTTTGTTACAATTTAAAGTTTATACACATAGGAAAATGTTAAGAAGGTCTCACTTAAACCGATTTTCTTTTTAAAAGTACATATCAAGTTAAGTATAAAACTTAAATCAACTCTTTGCATGTTATGTATTCAATCCTCATTCAATATACAGTCGAACTCGTTTTAAAAGGCACATACAAATTCTGATATCTAACGCTAGGCCAGTGTGTCAACCTTTTTCTAGATGAAATAAAGTCGGAAATAACTTTCTCGAATACTGTTTGAAAATTTTTATTTTATTCTTTGATGGTATTTACTGAGTATTATGAAAGTAAAGCATGTGCATAATAAAAATGGGACAAGTTAGAGTACGCGTGTTTAGCAAAAACTATATATAATGTGTTCGGTCTTATTCAATAGTGCCAACTCCAGTCATAGTTCAGCATTCCATACTATTCATTACATTTAACACGCAATTTGCCGCAAGTTTGTATAAACTTTTCTTTTATCGATTAAGTGCAGATATTATAATAAGATACTATATAAAGTAAACCTTTTGTGATATATTGGAAAACGATCAAAACACAATACTATTATATATATAACAACGAACCAGCGCGTTCTTCCTTGACGACAACGTTGTGTAAGCGTTCCATACTTCCTGATTCGATCACGCACACCGTGTACCTTGAATGTTTTATATTACAAGTGTTCCATATTTTTACATATAAATGTAACCTTGCATGTTTAATATTACAAATGTGCAATATTCAAACATAGAAAAGTTACCTTGAAGGTTTTATATTGCAAATGTGCCATATTTTAATAAAGAAAAGTTTATGGCAATGGATATTTTTGACTTATGTCTTTTATGCTTTTGCATTCAAAAAAAGTTTATGGCAATTTAATTTGAATGAAATCATGTCTCAAATATGCCTGATGAATGCTTGTTTATTACCCTGAAAATATTTCATGATAAAAATTACAACCACATGATATTTTGGCTCATATATACATTTAACCTTTCATGTATTTTTATTTTATTATTAATAAGTAGTAAATATTTTTTTCGAGTTTTAGATTTCAATGTATGTACGTAAAACAGCCGTTCAACTTTGTACGAGTTGCATTGTGTTTATTTTCGTGCACGTACTGTACATTATGAAAAGAATATATCCTTTCCGCGACAGTAACGTATTTAAACGTATCGTTTTTTCGTTTCTCCAAAAACCGACCCTATTTTACCAAAGAACACCCAAAACGTTATAAAACGTGTCAAAATTTTCTATTCTCAAAAGTGGATGTTGTTTTGTTGTAGGAAACCCGGCAATATTTTCATCACATTATTTTGCATTAGCTACTATCAAAACATTTTTCAAAAGATGGTAAATAAAATAAATGTTTTAAGAAACAAGTTTTTTTAAAAGTACTATGTCATTTTTATAAAAATCGGTTTAAGAGTGTCACTGATCGTTTATTGAACATATTATTGGATAATAAACTTGGTAATTTAATTCAAATCAATTTAAGGGAAAGTAAGCTACAAATACTAACTTATTTCAACCATGCGTTTTTTTCTATTTAACTAATAAACGGCTTCTAAAACATGTTTTACCTTACAGAAGATATGTTTGTCTTAATTGTCAAACCCTAATTTATGACATTTTTCTAAAGACAAGATGATTAATTATTGCTAATAAGATTAATCATTTTTACGGAATTATACGTTTCAGTCATTTAACGGTAACTTCTCATTTACGGTTTTACACGTTGTGGATATACACCTATACCGCATAATGACCCGTAACATACTAAAACGTATTTTCGTCAAAATGTTCGTTTGTAATTATCTGAGATTTTTATTTCACAGCAAACAAACACCTATCCCCATAACGTAAAATGACGGTGTTTTCAATATTATACGATGGACAACCATATCGTTGAAATACGGTATATTCCTCGTTCGCAAGAAAGTCTGAACCGTATTTATGCGTAAGATTTATCAGAAATTACGCTTTATAAGACTTTACTTAATTCTTTTACGCTGATTTCCGTTACAGTTTTTAAAACTGTTGAAAAAACACAGGTTTATAACGTTTCGGGTTTCCTTCATTAATTCAGACCCAACTTTTAGGGTTTGAAAAAATGTGCACGCTTAAAAACGTTACGGGTGTCAGTCCAAAAAAGAGGGTCGGTCGTGGAAAGGATATTAATGTTTTGTGTGTCAAAATACATAAAAATGAATAAATTATATTTTCATGGAAACAAACAGATTAACTTATTTATTTAAATTACCAGACGGTAGGGGTAAGGCGGTCATTGATAAAATCTTTGTTTAAGTAGTACTTTTATTTACATTTTACTAGTTTATATATACCTACATATTTAAAATGTTATTTGATTATGTTAACAATGTTATTTTAGTTTGCTTATTAATACGCAGTTAGGTGTTTACATCCTTTGTAAAGGTCAGTCCCTCAATGTTGACATGAACGTAAAAGAATTAATCTCGTATAACTCGTATAAGTCTTAGGTACTATTCTTCACATTTTATATTGGACTTTACATTGGACAAAAGAATATAAATTTGTGACTTCACATTTATTCAATCCTCATTTGTTTTTGTTGCGTTTTTTTTTCTCCCTATACATTATTTCTCAAATCTGATGCGCATTTTATTCCTTCGATTATAGTCATAATCTTGAACGCTTGACTTTTTGATATCTAAATTCTCCCGACTATAATAAATATTCTACTTATGTGTGACATTGTTGTGTTCTATGTTTTATAAAAGTTATACAGTGGTCGACCAATCATAATATTCGTATTATATGTATAAGAAAAGGTTATCAGTATTAGGAATAAATTATAAGAATGTTGTATACCTAGATAGAATTTTTTTAGGTTGGCATGGGGTTTGGATATTAGAAATGTGGAGGAAATGCAAAGAAATTCAAAAAAAAAAAATTCCCGTACTTTTCCGGTTCAATGGGACGTGGAAAATGAAAAATAAAATGTCTTATCTCCGTTTCCTACTGTTTTCTTTATGACTGACAAAACGTATATATAGAAGCTCAAGTGTACTCACGTAAATAAGGTCACGGTCATATCTCGCCTTCAGACATCTTGAAATGCTTTCAATAGACAAATCGTCCATGCGAGACAGATCATGCTGAAGCATCTCTGTCATCTCCATTCTGATTGGTCAGTTATCTGTACCGCGAATTTTAATTGGTTCGAACGAACAACTTGGTGCGATTCACAAATTCATGCTGGTTTTTTGTGCATTACGAAGCTGAAATAAATAGAAACTATTTTGAATTTCCTGAAATATTTTGGAATGATTCGTGAATTTGTGGTCATTATGATTTTAGATAGATTTGTTTAATTATACAAAAGGCGAATTACTTTACATACAATCTAAATGCAGTTTATATTAAAGTATGTTATTTCACATTCATGAAATGTTTATTTGCGATTTTTGTTTACATATTTTACTCGGATTTTGTCTGTTATATACCCAGAGCATTGTTTAATGAATTCATGTATATATTTGTACATATATTGTAAAACATAATGGCTACAATGTGTTGTATTTCAATGACATTTTAGATATTTTAACCAAATACTAGATACTCTGGATATAATGATTTTGAAGTAGACGACTCTAGAAGTTTCAAATTACAATTTTTTGTAAGTGTTCCTTGGCCTGTATCAAATCTATTCATACAATCTGTACAACATGTTAGTGTATATAAGGTCTCGATTACCTCAGTTTAACAAAAGAAAAAAGATATTAAAAAAAATGTTTATAACTTAGATAATAATAGACAGCCAGTGACATAGTGACTTCGCAAATATCTTAACCTCCATTCAAACTTCATACGAATAATGTTGGTTAAAGACAAAATAATTAAACAATACTGCTTAAAAGTATTGCATATTCGAATACTCGTCTTCAATAGACTAAAGTCGATATTCAGAATGGAATTAATTTCAATGAAAACCGGCAACAGGCGCTTTGTAATTAATTCTTAACCGGTTAAAATCTACAGATTCTATCCGTGTCACCAGTGCAGACCACAATCAGTCGGCAAAGTCATGCACACCCTCTGATCATGGTCTGTTCTGTCCGCTATTCAGTCAGTACATGTCTAAACTGACGAATGGTTTTGTCCAGACAAGTCCATTTTTTTAAATTTAGCGGGGATGGGGGTAGAGTAATACATTGCGCATAGTGTGTAATTCTTCATGTACATCTTACGAAAATTAAAACTGCGTCGCATAATTTACCTTACATTATACGCTTCTCTATTACAAGGTAAAATGTTTTGTTTTGTTACTGAATTAAATGCAGTTATTAAAACATTGATTTTGTTTTACTTGCGCACAAGCATGAAATGCTCGATGTTGTTCCTTTGAGTTTATATAACTTTAACAACGGTTATCCAATTTGCATTTACAATATGTAAAGCTATATACTATTGCCTAAATATATAATTCAGACAATTAACGTGTTTAATTCAGAAGCTGTAAATATACATGAAATTATTACCTGCTCCTGTCCAATTTAATCACAATTCCTGGTCAATTATTTTTTTTTAACATCAATTTTAGCTTCCAATCCTACTTATAGAGTCAGAGTGGTGTATTCCGCCAGGTGTGGCGTAGGAATGCGAAAACTATCCCGCAGACCAAGGTAGATAGATCTTTTCAACGATTAACGCTTCACGGCACCCATTCAATACCGTAAGAGGAAGTAAATATTATTGGCGATTCATTCGCCAGGGACTTCTGTCTTTTGTATATTGTAGTTTCAAATTTCTTTATTAAAATAAAATACCCGTTCGAAGAGAACTATTTTTAAAAATAACCTTAAATAACAATAGGAAGCATGCGCATATTTTGCCATTGACACATTTGTAATACTACCCGTCAGACAAGTTTTTAATGTAGGTACATATGTACGGACAGTGCGGTTTTTCTTTTTGATGGGCTCGTATTTAACTCTAAAGATAACATTCTTCAATTTTAAAATAATTTAAACCAATATTTTTGTATTTTTTTTAATGCGGAAAAATGCCACACCTAGATATTTTAATACATCTTAAATCATAAATCACACGGAAGTTTTGTTGGATTTTTCTGTTTATTTAAGAATATAACAAAATAAGATTAATAATTTATCAATCACATTCACTTGTACATGTAGTATAAGATATAAACCGCTTGTAAAAGGAAACCTTTCTGAATACAGGAGAAGTTCGTGCAAATGTTGGGATAAGGTTTGAATATGACAATATCTCATTACTTAAATTATTTAAGGATATTTTTATTGATATAACCAACTACAAAAAGTGTACCACAAATTGTTGTATAATTATCTTTTGATATGAATACGAAACGGTTAAGCGTATTACGTGTCATATATGGCAGTATTTATCATACTATCCCTTTATAATATTGATCTATGATATACATTTGTAACAAATTATTTTAAAGCAACCCTCTTTTATTATTGGTAAAACAATTATGTGTTATTTCGAGATTAGTAGTTCAGTAGTTTGATCTTATAAAAGGTCATCATATTACTGTTAACCTTTTAACGCGTCAGTGACTCTCGTTTATAAAAATATAAGATCGGGAATGGAATTGTCCACTTTACTAATTTAAATATACGACAGATTAGATGTATCAAGGGGTTTCCTTATTGTATTTATCGTCGGAAAATTTCATTTATCACCTTCATCCTTTTGATTTGGCAATTATATGAAACGATTTATCGAACAACAACATATTTAATGTTACGAAAAGCTGTAGGCCGCTTTAAAGAAGAATATTTTAGTGACTAATTAAAATCAAGAGACCTAAGACATGAAATTTGAAATGTTTACATAAATCAAATGTTGCAGTTGAAATGGAATGAAAACTGAAAAAAATAACAAAGAACGAGTGAAATTAAAAATTGACGTTTATTACTCTTTTTAAGCCCGATTTGAGTGAAAGCACTGAAACGCTTATCATTTTATTTTTTTTTTGGTAATTTTGCACAACCAAAATTATATGGTTAAGAAACGGAGTGAGGGAATGATCTGAAATTTTGCACATCAATTATTAGCATACACCTTCTTCTAATTGTGTACACGCCTAAAAGAAATATATATTTCTAGTCCCTAAATGTCAAAAAACGAAAACTCCATTTGAGTCCCTTTATGGTCGCTAAATATCAAGCATACGCCTTTAAAAGGCTAAGGGTTTGAATATCCGGTTCTTCATGGAAGTATACTCGGTTTGACGCCCCGGGGTATTCCCTCATTAGTAAAGCTGGGTGGGTTCTTCCTGGGAATGTGCTCGGCGGGACACCTGAGGTCTTCTTTCAACAGTAAAGCTGGAAAGTCGCCATATAACATTTTCATAAAATTATATGCTGGATCGACATTTAAGGCTATATAATATACCTAGATTATTTAACACGGAAGTACAGTATCAAGTGGATAATAGGAACAAGATATTTCTGACTTGCAGTAATAAGTGATATCTCCCGTATGGTATTTGTTTTCAATTGTTCAAGCGCTGTATAATGGTTTATAGACATAACTGATTAAATATTTAAATAGTTTTTATAACGTTTAAACCACAAAAATATATCACTTTAACATTTAGATCATTTTATACTTGTATAACAGTAATATTATCGATTTTTTTCATATAGAAACAATTGGGAAAAATGACCGAATTCGAAACAAACACGTAAGTGTCTCGTATATTGTTTTTTTCAAATACTAGTATGTTATGAACACATTACCATCATTTTGTAAAGAAGAAATATTTCAGGTGTATTAAAATGTAAATACATATGAATACAAAAAGAAGTTGATAGATCAACGTTGAATTCATTAATAAAGAATTTTAACCCTAAATACGCTAAATATTTTACATTAACCTGTGCATCTTTACAAAACCAGGTATCTTTTTTTTAAAATCATATTTAAGGCCTGGTTTATTGTTTAAAAGAAGGATACAAACATGATAACTATTGCATTTACTTTGATAAGTAGATAATAAATAATATATATGTTTGTGATTTTAAGTCAGGAAATTTAGAATATTTAAGACATTAAATGAAGTTCAGAAGCTCACTTATATAAAATACCAGTTATCGTTTTGAGGGGAAAAAAGAAGAAACAATATACTGACATAATGGCTACCAATGCAGACTATGATTTGGTTTTTGCACTGGCTGCCAGTGGGTATCTGTCTTCACCAGGCCAAGCGTTATATAATCTGTTATTAAATCGTTTCACTACAGATGTGGGGTCCATACTCTCAAGTGCCTGAAAGGGCGGATGGATCCTCATTAAGTATAGAATACACAAATACACACTCACTGCAGATGTAGTGGTATCTGCAATAGAACCTGTCAGTAAAATACAAAGACAGCAAAGATAATAAAGTCTTTATGTATAAGAGAAAGGAAAAGTATCATGTTACAATTTGAGCCACGTCATGACAAAACCAACATAATGACTTTGCGACCAGCATGGATCCAGACCAGCCTGCGCATCCGCGCAGTCTGATCAGGATCAATGCTGTTCGTTTATAGACCCTATAACAAGTAAAGAAACTGGTGCTCAGGCTGGTCTGGATCCATGCTTGTCGCAAACCCATTACGTTGGTTTTGTCGTGACGCGGCTCATTTGTAATTTTACTGGAACTATAAATGATTAATATAAGTTTAAAGTTTTCATTAATTCATGAAATATGATTTTGAAGCGTATTTATATTTTGTATCTTTAACACTCTAAATGGTATTTGATTATTTGGTTAGATGACTTTAAGATGTTCGTCACACATTTTAAATCCTTTTTGATGTTACAGAAGCGGAAAATTGCCACACCTAAACGTTGTAGTGCATTTACAACATTTATATTTTACACATAAGATATATTTATTTATCTATATATTTGATAACTTTTTTATTTATTTAACATATTCATTTATTCATTTACTTATTTATCAGTATTTTTCCATTTAATAGTTCAATTCATTTTTATCTGTGTCACTTGCTTACTCACTTGCATTACTTTGCTTTGTTCTTTACTAAATACTCTACTCTACTCTACTCTACTCACGTCTACTCTTCTCTTCTCTTCTCGACTCGACTCGACTTTACTCGACTTTACTCTACTGTACTCTACTCTTCTCGACTCGACTCGACTAATGTCAACTCTATTCAACTCTACTCTACTCTTACATCTTACATCATAACTTTTTTACTTTACGTTACGTTACGTAACTTTACGTAACTTTACTTTATTTTACTTTACTTCAACTCCATGCAAGTTAATACAATATCACATATTGTGCTTTGTTAATGTTTTGTTTACTTTGTCTCTTAATATGCCTTATGCATTTATAAAATTGTAAAACATGTAAAGAGACGAAGTTCATTAGTACTTACATTCTGGAAAGGGCCTAAAATGTTAACCCACGTGAACCCATGTGTGCGTTCAGTATATATTGAGTACTGGATGGGGATTTTTATAAAAGAAAAAACAACGGAGTACAAATTAGTAGTATGATACAAAACACTGTTCCAAGGTTGTCTTAAAATCAATGAAATACCAATAATAATAACATAATTCTATTCATAATTCATTTTGCAGTGGTTCAAAAACTAACTTAAATAAGAACAATTGTCTCATTATATGTGCACAGGAAATTCATTCTTCTATGAGCAGAATTTGGCAGTATACCATTTACAGCTATTATTTGAAAACAACACGGAAATCTATGTATTTAATTGTTTTGTTTTGTTTAAATAACTAAATTAGATAGAATCCAATTTAACAAGAATATTTTCCTACATCGAACTTTCCCTGACTGCATGGAATTCACTTTTTTATTTATCATAACATAAAGAAAAGAATATGTCTTTCATTTACTTGTAGGTATTTATATGAATCTGTCATTTTTCCATGTGAATTTTGCAAAAGAGGTTATATGGTGGCGTGGCATAATTGGTATTCACAAGCTCCGCTTCTCCGTGATTCAGATGTGTGTCAGTTGCATTTAACTTTGTTATGAACATTTGCATAGTTGTGGTTTTGATTTTCTTTCAATATAGTTTTTAACTTCTTTCTTTTCATTTTTCATTTTATTTACCTATTTGTTGCTGTTGTTGTTTCGCACAAAATTGTTATTGTTACAAAATTCTGTGCAATAAGGACTCTTGAAAATCTGTTAAACACAATTTCTTGCATAATAATAATATCTGTATGATTAATTTAGACATTTTTTAGTCCAAACATGGTACAAAAAGTCGGTAACACGGAAGTAGAATATCAAATGGTTGAAAGGCATATTAATATTTACCTAACAGTCTGACATTACTGCATCTGTAAATACAAATGTAGTCATTAATAAAACCTCTCATTATGATTATTTGATTTCAGTTGTTCAAACCCTCTGCTTCAAAGGAGTTATATATAGACATTATAAATTAAATATTGAATATTTAAAAGACCCCCATAAAAACATATTTCACTTAAATAATTATAAAATCTTTTAATTTGTTATTGTATTATTCTTCCGGATCGATAAAATATTTTATTCACAGCTTGAAGTAAATTAAAGGAGATATACTTCAGGTTGTACTTTTTTAAATAAAATAATCAAACACTTTTCTCGCTGAATCCATTTACTGTAGATATAG